ATCTATCTATCTATCTATCTATCTATCTATCTATCTATCTATCTATCTATCTATCCTACTATACTTAGACACCCAGTTTTTATGGCTAAAAGAGGCTTGGAGTCGCCTGGTTTCTAGGCCAGCACTATAACAACCAACTCTGTTGAACTTAAAAGGAATGTTATATACTCAATGAACTGAGTATTTCCATTTCATTTATATGGCATTAACCTGTACAAAAAGTCAATAAAAAATAAAAAAGAAAGTGAAAAAGGACATAGTTTTGATAAATATTAATATTAATGTGTGGAAAAAATGGAAAATATGGCAAATTTTTCAGGTGCTTATATTACAGAATCAACACAAGTGAATAATTTTTTTGGTAAGTTAGCACTGGCAGTTAGTAGATTACCATCAATATCTATTCAGATAGTCTAGGCTGAATTCAGATTGCTTTTATTGGCTGCTGTTATTGATACAGACTTAATATCATGGCTTTATAAAATATGAGAAGTTAGTTATTCAGTTATGATACACTAGATTTCCAATATTTTAATATGAGAAAAGTGTTTAGCTGCAGAAAGAAGATAATAAATTATAGTCAATTTTTGCAGCATATAAATTAGGGTTAGCAAAGAATAATGCAAACAAGTTGATCTTCTTCTGAACTTCATTAGCAGTGTCATGACCATACATGCCTGAACTTTTGTCCTTTTGTGCTTTCTAACCTTACCCCTATTTGCTAATTTACTGTGCATTTATTAGATAAGTTTAATATCATCTCCTAAAATTGATAGCATTAGGTCCATACATCATCAGTTATGTGTCTTTCAACATTAAGTAGTCAAATCTGGAAATAAATGAATTTAATTAAGGCTCCTTAATTCTTTGCTTAAATCATCTGCTGTGTGTCATAATATTTACATTAATGATCTATATGTACAAAATAATGCAATATAGAGATTTTCGTCAATATGTGATGTTGGTTGGGTATCAGATTATTAATAGTGCCAGTGGATTCAAGGCTTATTTAACATTTTATGAAATTGGGAATAAGGACTGTTGTGTTGTGAATTGTTCTCTGGATGACTTGATTACTGTAAGAAGTTTATATGGAAAAATACTATTCATGGCCTGGGATGTAATGATAACTAGAATTTCTATAAAAAACATATAGCTGCTGCCGTATTGCCATATTTTTTCATATCATGTCGTACATGATTCTCGACTCTTGATGAATGTATCTTTTCTTTTATATATACTGAGAATATTTACACGAAGATAAATTCCTTGTGTGTCTAATCACACTTGGCCAATAAAGTATTCTATTCTATTCTATTCTATTCTATTCTATTCTATTCTATTCTGTTCTGTTCTGTTCTGTTCTGTTCTGTTCTGTTCTATTCTATTCTATTCTATTCTATTGATGAAAAAATAGTTCTGACCACCAAACTGTTACTGATAGTAGTATAACATTTTGCATCTCACCCTGAATGGAAAAAGGTAGAATAAAGCAATAAATTAAAAATGTGAAATGAAGCCAAGCATTAAATCTGGCAAAAATATCAGTCCAAATTTAGAGTCAAGTATACTTTTATAATTTTTTAATATAAATGGCAATTAGTAATATATAGTACAGATAGTCAACTGATGGCCACAATTAGGATTGGAACTTTCATCACTAAACAATGCAGTAATTGAGTAAGTAGTGCCTGATTTTACAATGTTTTTTGCCATAGCCATAAATTAAAATCACCATAAAATTAGAATCTCCATGATTGTTATGCAATTCACACAGACATTACGCAAATCTAGGCTAACCATTGATTTTGCTTTGAGGAAGCCCCCTGGAAGGTCATAAATGGAGATTACGCAACTCTGAACCACTGCAACTATGGTAAATATATGCCAAATATGCCACAAGTGTGACCATGGAAATGCTGCTACAGTTAAGTGCAAGCCTTATTGTAACTTCAAATAATGTTAAATGTCAAAGTAAGTCAAGGACTACTTGTAATGCTAATGAGATTCCTGTTTGCTTACTACTTAATAAAACGAATCACTTCCTTGCTGGTTGCAGCAAATATGAAAGATTCAAATAGAACAGGACAACATAGGAATATACGAAGAACAAATACTAAATATTTTATTGTTTTTCCTTTTTACTGGGTCTGTTTTGCAGTAATGTTGACTTCAGTATAGATTGATAATATTATAATTAAGAATTAATAATGACTTACTTGGTAGCAGAAGTGTTGTAGGAGTTGTAGGGACCAAAGTGGGTTCTGGATACATGCTTTCAGCACAGGCTCCATTTAAAAGCCCTATATCATCAATGGCAATATCATGCCAACCTGGTCTTTTAAAGGCTTCAAAAGCAACCTATAAACAAATGTTATAGAGTGAGAAACTTATAATGAATGAGTATTTTTATTATGGCCACTGACATTAAAAATCAAAATGAAGCAAAAACAAAACAAGATAAAATGTTACAATTGGTGGTGGGTTTTATCAGTGGATAAAAAAGCTTGCCTAATTGAAGCAAAATTTAGCCACGTTCAAAGAGATTGAATCATCTGATAACAACTGAACTGGTGTTTCCCAGGTGTTTTACAGGTGAGGAATTATAAGGTGAGCTCTTGACTCCTGAAATTGGGAAACCTACAGCAGTATAAGAGCTGCAGTCTCAACAGCTTCTTGTTCATAGGGTTACAATTGAAACTCATAGGGATCTTTTAATATTGGCTCACCAAAAATGCTGTGGGGATAGCAGTGAAGCTTGATAAGTTAGTGTGGAATTTGGAAAAAGTCAAGTGGTATAAATATTGGCTTATAAAAAGGGGCTTGACTGCAGAGAATAGCATTTCTTACTCTATTTTAAATTTAGTGATAAATCCAGATACACTATTAGGAAGAAAATTGAGAGAAGAACTGTGTTCATTAATCAAATATGTATTACTGCCCATTTCATGATAAGTTCATCCAGTATCTTAGTTAGACACCCTTTTATTTTCCCACGCATTTAAAAACACATTTACAATTTATAGAAGTAATTGTTTTATAATATTACTAATATTAGCACTATTAAGTAGCTTTTATTATTACTGTGCTATTGATGATTATGCTGTTTTGGAATGCTTTTGCTATTGATATCATTTGATGTTTCAAGTCAAAAAAGAAATGAACTGATCTGTACACTATTTGAAACTGTTAGTGGATATATGAGAATGCAGAAACAAAGTATTAATATCTATTTCCTATTGATTAATCCTGCATATTTTTATTTAGTTGCTATTTCAATAATCAATTCAATCATGCTATGAAGTAGATCGATTCAATTTCTTTTTAACGATGGTTATTTTGTATAACTTATTTTTTAGGGAAAAATCCATTTAAAAATGGCACATGGAAATATATTGCTCTTACCCATGTTTGGTATTTTGAATTCATTTCCTAACCACAACCATACTAAAATCTGAAATATTAAATTTATACAAATGGATAACAAGAAAGAATAATTCTATATATTTATAATATCATTAAAAGAAAGGGCATTTACTTCAGCCTTTAATTTTTTTTTAACCCAACATCTTGCATGATTAATAACATAAAGAATAGAAGGTGTATTGAATATGTACATCCTACATTATCTGTAGATATCTGATATGTAAATATTTCCTATTTGTCTCATTATCTGTAGGCTTGTCCAGGAACATAGATAGATCTTGATCTTTGTATATTTGCTGATCAGTTTTTCCCCACTTCTGTAAACATTTCATTTTCTTATGATAATTTATAGAATCTACTGAATATTCTTCATCAAATAGGTTTGGGACTCTTGCCAGGCATATATACTTTAAGTACTCATGCTGGATGAGTTATGTGAGAAAGATTGAGACATTTAAGAAGTAAACTAGACAGCTAATCATTCTATATTTTTGCAGCTGTTACAACAATGTTGAGATTCTGTTTATTTAGAATCTACATATTAAATGACAATAAAACATGTATTAAATTGGAATTAAAAATTATAAAAAGAATGGACTATTAATATTGGATTATTATTTTATATGTGGAAATGATTGACAGCTTCATTAACCTATGGTAACTTTGTAAAATATGAATGCATATAAGTAAAATTGATAGTGTATATTATCAGAGCATTACAAATTTACTTTTATTAATGACTAAGACAATAATGATTTATATCAGGTAATATTCAAGAAAACTTATGTTTGAGTTAAGCTATTTTACATTATATTTCTAAATGAAATCATTGCTATCTTACAATTTATGAAGTATAAATTCAGGTACAGGCAATGTTTCCTTCCCTTTCTCATTTTATTTTAATTAAAACAAATGTGTTTGGCATATTGTGAAAAAGAATATCACCCTTTGTAGATATCTTAATTCTTTTATAAGTAGACGTCAGCATTCATAGAGAATAAAGATGCTAGGTGATCAAAATTTCCTGATCTATATGAAAAAATAAAAGAGCTCAAAAAAGAATAGGCAAAAACTATGTGCCATCTTATCAATTTGCCAAAATGGATGTTTGCAACTGGTTCTTTGTACTCTGACTGCTATTATGTTGAAATATTTTGACATGGTTATAAAATTCTAATTATCTCTATTGGTCCAGAACATTTGCCTTTCTGATGCTAATGCAAACAGCCATAAATTACTAATTTTAGAATTGCTTTGTAAGGAATTCTACTTCTCCTAAACACATCTAATAAAAATCCAGATTCAGATATTGTTTGGAACTCTTTTTTTTCTTGCTGACAGCACTGTTACCAGAAATGTTGGGAAGATGAGATATGAGTTCTGAAAACATATGGACTAACTCAATTGTTCAGTACACAGAAGATGAAGAAAAAAAAATCTTCTGTAGAGCATTCGGATGATTTATCAGTCACATTTGGGCAATAATTTTTAAACCACACATTCCTTTAGAAGCCAAGTTTGACAAGACAAGTATATAATCAAGTGCTAGTAGTATTAGTTGGGGATCTAAATATTCTCTATGAGATCAAAAAGCTGGGATGCAGAGGAAATAATTGAATGCACATCAAATTAATTTATTTCATTACTCTAGCTAATCACTCTACCTAATTCTGAATTAGTGACACAACTGCCAAAGGCAGAAAAAAAACATTCCAATAATAATTTTAGCTGCCCAAAATACAGCATAATATATATGCATACCATCTGATATTATCTTAGTGCTATAATTGTGAATGTTTGTGTGTTTGTGTATGAATACTGAAAGAAGAGGAATGATAACAAAATGAAGATAATTGTGATTACAAACTCTGCTGAACATGAATATATTAACATACTTTAAATTTAGATGTTTCATTTAATGTTATTTGTCCATAATTCCAATTGTTTCCATAATTTCCTTCTTTCTGGAAGATGATCTTTTCACTGCTATCATCATATATAATTTTAATATTTAGATGGTACACATTAATACCATACATATGATACCTAAATGAAAAACAAATTTCATAAATTATATAATATCATATTAAAGTGAAATCTACCCAGTGACTATCACTCTAAATTCAGAACATGCTCTGTCAATAGTAGATGGAATTGGAGAAGAAATAACCTTTATGAGTGAATTCACATAGGCAGACATGGTTTTACTTGTAAATTGCACCCCATCTGGGCAAATGGTAGAACACTTAATGTCCTTATTATATTTGGTCATCCCGCTTTTCCTGACCAAACCAGGATCTTCCACCATTTATTTAACTGATTAGTTGATCAGAGCTCTTCTTATTTCAGCTTCAGATGTCAAAATGCCTTTCAGTCAGAAGTGTCTAATAGGGTTCCATAAACTTTATCTTCAAACAAAAGAACTTTTGTTTACATTGTCCCACAAATGTTTAAGATCCTTTTATAATGTAGAACTATAGCTACTACATGAGTCTATATTCACATAACATAGAAAATATTCACATAATCAATTTGGGAATTGGTTTTCAAATACATCATTTTCTACAAGTAAACAAGTTGCACATCTTGTTTTCTAAAAATTAACAAACTGCAGATAGGATGTGCATTATTCCATCAGTGATGGGATTCAATTTTTTTTGCTATCGGTTCTATGGGCATGGCTTGGTGGGCATGTCAGGGGAAGGTTACTATAAAATCTCCAGTCAGAGGTGGTATTTGCCTATTCTCCGAATTACTCAAAATTTCCACTACTGGATCTCCAGATCTGGTCAGAACTTGCTGAATACCACTTCTGGATTCCATCCATTTATTTAGGCCAGAGTACTTCTCCTTCCACAGAATCTTTCTATGAGCTTTTGGTATCCTCAGTACTCAATTTTAAAACATTTTCTTCTTTCCCAAGCTTTTAAAGGAAGACTATTTCTACAAATCAATAATTTCTTATTATATAAACAAAATATTTACTGTACCAGAAATTTAGGCAGTATGCATCTGAAATAGGGTTTAGGGGTAAGCTAAATATTTGAGCTCTCAATGGCCAGTTTAACCGAATTATTGGTGTTGAAATGTAGTAGCCTGAAAAAAAATCAAAGTAAAATATATATAAGTGTATATGCACTTAATGAGAGATATAATATGGATTTCTGATTCTTGATGAGTTAAGAAATCATCCTGCTAATAACGACATGAACTCAGTGATGGCAATACTGCTGCTGATTTTATTTTTATCTCATCTCTTTTATATTCGGTCAGCTTATTTTTTAAAGCATACTGGTAACAGGAAGGAAATCAATTAAATAAAGAGAAAAAGAGAGAAAGAATATGTACACTTAAGTAATATCTTTACAGGTTTGCCACGATTTCTAGAGAAGTGACTATAGTTAAATGCCAATTTTAATTAGCCTTTTCCAACAGGACTAAAGGTGAGAGACTTTTTTATTTTTCTTATTTTTTATTATGGTCAATTCAGTGTTGCTCTACTTTGAAATGGTTTCAAGCCTAAATACGTATTTATGTGTTTAACCAAATTTCTATCCTGAATCATAGCCTAGTTCAGAATCTTATGCAACAAAATGTGGTCTGGAAAAATATGTTGAAATAGAAATAAATGAGGGAAAAGATCACAATTAGTAATAGAATTGAAATGCTGAATGGTCAAACCATCAGAGGCCATCAGGATGTAGCCTACCAGAGCCTGGATATTTTACAGCTGGAATACGTCAAGCATCATTAAATTCAAACTATGATTAATAAAAAATAGCCATGCTACAAAAGATGGATGAACATACCAATTAAATCAAATGAAATAAATAGCTATTAACTGATTAATTAGTGAATTTCTATACTGAATTCTGTACTGAAATTTCTGTAAAAAAAACATGCATTTTTCTATTTCAGTCCATAGATTCACCTGCCTAGCATGCTGCAGAAAAGAAATTATTTTGATAAATATGCATGTAAAATATTTTGAGGCCCTGTGTTTTTCAATATATTATCATCACGTTATAACTGTATTAAAGTAATAAGGCAAGAAAAACCTACTTGGAGCCATTTTTATAAATTGAAGCCCTGAATTTAGTGGCGTTAATCCTCCAAATGTGTGCACTGCTTTGCACCACTCAAAGGTTAGGGGACAAACAGGGTGAACTTGAAGTATTAATACATGAAGGCAGATATGATATAGTCTTTACTGAAACTTGGTGGGATGAAACTCATTACTGGAATGTACTGATAGAAGAATACAAACTATCCAAAAGAAACAAATCACAAAAAAAGAGGAGGGGGAGATGAATTACATATAAAAGATCATTACATTTTGACAGAAATACACAAAACCAAGGATGAAAACCTCTTAGAATCCATATGGATTAATATAAAAGGAAAGAAAAATGATATGGTTATAGGAGTATACTACATGCCACCCAACCAAGCAGAAGAACTAGATGAACTCTTTGCTAATCAATTAACAAATGTATGTAGAAAACATACCACAATAGTAATGGGAGACTTTAACTACCCTGACATCAACTGAGAGACAAACTCAGCAGCAAGTGGGAGAGTGAATAGATTCAATCATGTAGAAGAGGAAACTAGAAAAAAAAAACTATACTTGATCTAATTCTTACCAATAGAGAAGAAGTGATAGGAAGAGTTGAAGTTGCTGGAACCTTGGGTGAGAGTGATCACATCATACTGGAATTCAGTATAATGCAAACACAAGCTATAGAATATAATACAACCAGTGTCTTAAATGTTAGAATATCTGATTTTAACAATCTCAGAGAGACTCTAAGCAAAATTTCATGGATAAAAATCCTAAAGGGGAAGATAACTCAAGAAGCATGGGAAACACTGAAAAATATGATCATAAAAGCCCACTCTATCACAATATCATTAAGAAAGAAAAACAAGAAATCCAAGAAGAAATCAGCATGGTTACATAAAGATCTCTCTGAAAGACAACAAGGATAAGTACAAAAAATGGAATGAGGGGCACATAAGTAAGGCAAAATATAAGAAGATAGCCCGAATCTGCAAAGCAGAGACTCAATATGAACAAAGACCTGCAACAAAAATCAAAGACAATAAAAAGTTTATTTCAACATATAAATAACAAGAAAAAAGTCAAGGAAACAGTCAGTCCACTAAAGAGTGAAGATAGCAAGGAAGCGACAGACAGTAGAGAGAAAGCAGAGCTGCGTAATTCATTCTTTGCATCAGTCTTCACACCAAAGGAGACTTGCCCAACCAACCAAAAATGACTGTAAAAGACAGGCTAGAAATAAAAATTAAAATAAGTAAAAAAATGGTAAGAGAACACCTGTCTGACCTTGATGAATATAAACCTCCAGGACCTGATGGATTGCACCCCAGAGTTCTGAAAGAGCTGGCAAACGTTATCTCAGAACCATTACCATATTTTTAAAAAATCTTGGAGCATTGGGAAACTACCAGAGGATTGGAAAGAGCTGATGTGGTTCCCATCTTCAAAAAAGGAGAAAAAAAAAACAGACCAAGAAATTACAGACCAATCAGCTTAGCATCAATACCTGGGAAGATACTGAAAAAACCCACAAAGAAACAGATCTGTGAACAATAGAAACAAATAAAATTATAACTGATCGCCAGCATAGGTTTTTTAAAAACAGATCATGCCAAACCAATCTTATTTCATTATTTGAGAAAGCGACTAAATTAGCAAACCAGCAAATGCTGTGGACATAGTACATTTAGACTTCAGCAAGGCATTTGACAAAGTAGACCACATCCTACTTCTTGCTAAGCTAGAAAGATGTGGGATAGATAGTCTCACCACAAGATGGATTAGTAACTAGCTGACAAACTGTATTCAATGAGTAGTCCTTAATGGTACCACATCCACATGGAGGGAAGTAAGCAGTGGTTCTGTCTAAGGCTCAATACTCTTCAATATCTTCATGAATGACTTAGATGGGGGAACAGAAGGAGAACTCATTAAATTTGCAGATGACACTAAACTGGCAGGAACAGCCAACACCTCAGAAGACAAGCTCGGGATCCAAAAAGATCTTGACAGACTTGAACAATGGGCCCTGTCCAACAAAATAAAATTTAATATGGAGAAAAGCAAAGTTTTACAGAAAACTTTGTAAAGTTTTGCAGAAAAATCAAAAGTATAAGTATAGATTAGGTGAAACCTGGCTCCAAAACAGTAACTGTGAGAGGAACCTTGGAGTCTTAGTGGACAATCACTGAAACATGAGTCAGCAGTGTGCAGCCGCCACCAAAAAAGCTAATACAATCCTTGGTTGTATAAACAAAGGCATAGAATCAAAATCATGTCAAATATTAGTACCACTTTATAAAGCCTTGGTAAGACCACACCTGGAATACCGCATCCAGTTTTGGTCACCACATTACAAAAAAGATATTTAGACTTTGGAAAAAATGCAAAGAAGAACAAGTAAAATGGTTAAATGCAAGTAAAATGATTAAAACATATGAAAAACAGTTGGAGGATTTGGGTTTGGCTAGTCTAGAGAAAAGAAGGACTAGGGGTGACATGATCACAATATTCCAGTATTTGAGATGCTGCCACAAAGAAAGGGGTCAATTTATTTTCCAAAGCAGCAGAGGGAAGGCAAGAAACAATGGATGGAAACTAATCAAGGAGAGAAGCAAACTGGAATTGAGGAGAAACTTCCTAACAGTGAGGACAGTTAACCAGTGGAACAGCTTCCTCTCAGAAGTTGTGGGTGCTTTATCCCTGGAGGTTTTAAGAAGAGACTGGACAGTTACTTGTCTGCTGGACTAGAACAGGGGTTGCCAACCTTTTGGACTTCAGGGACCATGAAACTCGTAATTTTAAATCCAGCAGACCACTAATATGAATTTTGACTGACGGTGGCTTGCTGACATTGGTGGGAAAGTTGGTCCCATATTCCAGAGCTGTAGTAATCACAAGACTGGCGCTTTGGTCATCCCGAAGCAGTTGCTTCTCCACCCAAGTGCACAGGCCTGCCATGGACTGGAGGAGCTGCTCTGAGATCACCAAAGAGCCAGTCTTGTGACTATTGCAGCTCTGGAATATGGGACTGACTTTCCCACCAACATCAGCAAGCCACCCCGGGATGGATTTCCCTCTCTCACCATTGGTCTTCCAGTTCCAGCTCGCATGGCTCTTCTCAAGGTAAGGTTTGTGCTTGGCCGAAGGGTGGGGGCCAGTGGATGGGCGAACCATGTGGGCAGCATAGCCTCGTGTTCCCATGCAGCCTGGATTAATTGCTTTGGAGGGAGTGCTTTGGTGGAGGACATTTCTCTGCAGACCACCAAAATTTTCTCACAGATTACCAGTGGTCCCCGGCCCACGGGTTGGCAACCACTGGACTAGAAGACCTCCAAGGTCCCTTCCAGCTCTATTCTGATTCTTTGATATGTTCAGTTTAAGCAAAAGAAAGAATATAAAATATTTCTATTATCTCCAAAATACATTAAATTGGAAACCAACAACAATAATTGCATTTGCATACAGTATTTCTTACCTGATAAATTGCCAAAGGTATGATCAAAATCTGGACCAGATGTAGGAGGAAAAAAAGAGCCGTTAGCTCTCTCCCATTCATTCATTCCCTTTATATGTTGAATCCAGTAACAAAATCCATCTTCAAAAGTGCAGTTGATTTTTTCATTGTCTTCAAACAAAGTTGGAGTAAAAATAATAAAATCAACACATTGAAATTTTATAATGCATATCCTAATTATACTCAGAATCAAGGGATTACAGCATCATAAAAAGAAAAAATATCCTGATTATTATCATTTTGATACTGTTCACAAAATAATTTTATTTATGGTGCTTTCTCTGTGAAAAGTCCCATTTTGAAATTAGTTGAAATGACATTTTGAAAAAAAGCACAATTACTTGGATATACTGTGCAATAGAAGACATATATGTATGATGAATGGTTACGTTTCCATATCCATGGCATTTAATGTAACAACTGGTACAGACAGAGTAACAGCATTTAGTAGCGGGGTATCAAACTTGATTTCATTGAGGGCTGCATCAAAGTTGTGTTTGATCTCAGGTGGGGTGGGTGTGACCAGGATGGGTGTGGCCAGCTTGATGTCAGTCATGTCAGGGGTGTCTGGTGGCCTGAGTGCTTTTCCAGTGAAAACGGGCTCCTGAGTTCTGTTTTTGGCTGCGATGGCCTCCTATAACTCTCTGCCAATGAAAACAGAGCTCCATTTTCGCTGGCAATGGCACTGCGTATTGGTCCTTCGCTGTTTTCAGAATGGCCTCATGGGCACCTAATCTAAGCACCCCGCAGGCCAGACCTGGCCCCAGGGCCTTGAGTTTGACACCCCTTATTTAGTACTATTGTTACAGTGAGATGGACATCATAAGCAATGGCTGTTTCACATGAAACGTTTAGCCATGCACTCTGGCCTTGTAAGCTCTGCACAGTGATATTTGCTTGTTTTATTTATTTACTTTTCTCACAGCCAACACTGCTGGAAAAAGAATTGTTAGGCAAGGAAAAGGCAGAGAGCTTAAGCCATGAATTATAGCAGGCATCACACAAACTGTATGCATCTACAACTGACTTTCCTGTCGGGAAGTCAAGATGATGCATTTTTATTCTTAAAGTAGCAACCCTGTGAGTCTAAGGCACATTAATAACTGGCCTAATTGCCAAATATATTACCTAACTGAAGGGAACATGATCCTGGACTCCAGACTACCATATTGGTTTTCGTGTAATATTACCACCAATGAGCTGAAGCATTTGATTAAGAAGAAAATTACAGAAACCAGATAGCAATAAGAAAGTGATGGTAGAGATCTCAATGAGTAGTTGGATGGGATAAAAAGGGATCTGTAATTTCTAAATTACATAGTTGATCAGCTATTGCACACCAAGGAAGCTGTATGCTATAATTATATTTTTCAAACAGTAGTCATGACTTTAGTTTGCTGTAGTGCTTAAATATAAATTACAGGTATACTTACCGGTTAGCTCACTTGTATTGAATGCAGCGTAGGTTGCATTAAAACCATTAAGGTTCTCATGTAAATCTGTGACAAATTCTACAGTGGCTTTATCAGAAAAAATATAAACTGTTACAGGATTTGAACCTGAGATGTGAGCTAAGAACAAAAAAACATAATGGAAAACAAATCAGAATGGAATAATAGTATATCTATTCAAGTAAAAATGAGTCAATTGATTTTGTTCTATGGAAAGTTGATACAAAACTATAAACATTAATGTTCATATTGTTTAGTAACAATTTAAATCTGAACTTTCAATAGGATTCTAGTCACAACAATCAATTGCAGCTAATTTAATGAACTTAAAGTAAGCAAATCATTATATAAATATAAGTAAACTTTGTCATCTTCACACAAAAGACTGAGGCCTTATTCTGTCTACTGGTTTTCCATAACTATCACTCGATCCAGGGAAAATGTTTCAGAAAGTGTGTGAGATAGATTTTGTCTACGAAGGTGATGGACTATAGTGAAGTATCATCTTCTCAGGACAGAGGGAGCATATTCCAAAAACAGGGCAAAACAGCCTGGTACTGGATTGCAGTCAGAGGAAGAGATTTAGGATAGTCACTCCCTAGAATTTCCCTAGGTGTATCTAGGATAAGAGTGGTATAGATTTAATCTGGCAAAATTTTGTCTAGAGAGTGTGAACAAATAAAGAATTAAAATTTGATTGGCTTGTTCTATGTCATTCTGTGCTGGGCCTGACAGTGTAGTAATATTTATTTTTCTAAAAACTTTTGAAATGTGTAAACAAAAAAGAAAATGTTAAATCCCTCCCCCACCCTTAAAAAACCCCTTATGTTTCAATATTTGCATTTGTCATATATAAAAACTGAATATGTTTTGTATTACAGTCAGCTGAATGATTAAGTACATAAAAAGCTCAGAATAGTATAAATACATTGCAAAGCCTGACTGAATGTCTGATTGATAATTATGTCTCATCAAGTCAGTGTCAACTTTTAGCAACCACACAGATCTTCTTGAGGATGATCTGTCCAAACCTGGTGCTATATGCCTTCCAATAGTGCACTTTTCTAAGTAGTCCAATGATCTAGATGCTGGTTATCCTACTCCATTTTCTTCCATGTTTTCCAGCAGTATAAACTTTTCAGGAGAAATAGATCTTCATATAATGTGGCCGTAATATGATAACTTAAGCCTAGCCTTTTACTCTGAATAAGAACTCTGGATTAATCTTTCAATATTTGTTTTAATGACCTCTTCTCAGATCTCCAACACCAAATATTCTTTCTATCCCGCTTCTTCAAAGTCCATAAAATACCTATTCCTATTCAAATCTTTCTGTTCCACAGTGTGTCAGTTGAGTACATATTTCTTCCTACACAAAATAATATCATACATATTTAACTTGTATATAGTTATAATTGTTCTTATCAGTATTTTATATCACATTTGTCACTTATTCTATTATCCTTAACTTTTAAGTCCTTAACTTTCAATAATATATTTCAAGTTCATTTTCTTACTCTATCTAACTCATCTATTTATCAGCAACAATATGTTATACTATACTTATATAATTCAATTCTTTACTCTTCTATCCAACCATTCATAAACTAGATTCCAAATTTTATAATAGTCTTTTTCTTTTTGTTCTCTAATCGCCATTGTTAATCTACTCATTTCTGCACATTCCATTATTTTCTTATTTCCTCTTCTGTCGGAATTTTTTCATTTCTTCAATTTTGTGCAAATACAATCCTAGCTGCTGTTAAAATATTTTCAAATATATCAAATATGTTATTTCTTTGTTATAACCCTCATGCAAAATTCCCAATAAAAATGCCTCTGATTTTAAGTCTATAGGTTGTTTTATCATCTTCTCCAGCTACATGTGTGTTTTAGCCAATACTTTCTAGTCTTTGTGCATGTCCACCACATGTGGTAATTTGATTCTGGTAACTTCTGGCATTTCCAACACTTCGCCGACTTATCTTCAAATATCTTAGCAATTCTCATTGGGGATAAATGCCACTTGTAAAACATCTTATACAAATTCTCTTTATAGGCCACTGACATAGTTAATTTATAATTTCTAGACCATAATATCTGCCATTTATCAAGATCTATTCCATGTCCAAATTTCCCCCCCACCCGCAATCATTGTTTCTTTTACTTGTTCATCCTCTAACTTCACTCCTATAACCATATAGTTTTTTAATCAACTTCTCATCAGTGCCTGTTAGGATTTTATCTAATTCAGTCAATTCCTTATAAAACCCAGTCATCTTAATTACTTTTTCATACCTTGTATGTATTTGCAAGTATGACTACCAATTTGTATTTATCCCTTGTAAATTAAATTCTTGCTTTGTTTTGAGTTCACCCTTTTCATTTAAAATTTCATCATATCTAATTATGTGTTCCTTTTAAAATAGTTCTAGCTTCTAGGCTTCTAAAGTTGATAACCAGACTGGTATTTTCAAATAATGACAGTCTCTTATCTTTTCCCATACTGTTAATAAAGCATCTCTAATATAATGTCTCCTAAAATATCCATGTGTCTTACTTTCTTTATACCATAAAAATGCATGCCAACCAACCCAAATGTAAATCATGTCCTTCTAACATGTAATCTGGCATTTTTCAATACAATCCATTCTTTCACCTACATCAATATTGTTGCCTGATAGTATAATTCCCAATTGGGTAATCCAAAACCCTCTCTCAACCTTGCTTCCTGTAGTAATTTTATCTTGATTCTTGCCTTTTCTCCCCACCAAATAAATTTCATCATCATTTTATTTAAATCTTAAAAAAAAATATCAGTCTTATTGGAATCATTTGAAATAGATACAATATTTTTGGCAGTATGTTCATTTTAATTATTGCTATTCTACCTATTAAGGATAATTGTAGATTTTTCCATTTTTCTAGATCTATCGCAATCTCTTGTAATAATCTGTCATAGTTATTTTCTTTAAGTGTTCCACATGTAGCTGTCATTTGTATCCTTAAGTATTTCACTTTTTTTGTAATTTGAATATTAAATTTGTCCAATAGTCTTTTCTTCTGCTTTTCTCTCATATTTTTCACCAAAATTTTTGGGTTTTTTTTTGTTTATTTTCAGTCCTGCTACTTTGCCAAACTCCTCTATTTCTCTAATCAACTTTGGGCCTGTTTCCAATGGTTCTTCCAAAAAAAGAAACCAAATCATCTGCGAATGCTTGTAATTTATACTCTTCATTTTTTATTTTCATTCCCTTTATTTCTCCATTTTTTCTAATATATCTATTCAAGACTTCCGATGTCAACACAAATAATAGTGGGGATAACGGACAGCCTTGTCTAGTTCCTTTTAAAATATTGAAGTTTTCTGTCAATTCTCCATTTATCATTATTCTTGCTGTTTGCTTTTTATAGATCACTTTTAATGCATTCATATACCTGTCTCCAAAACCCATCTCCTCCAATTGCATCAAAATAAACTGTCAATTCACATTATCAAACACTTTCTGTGCATCTAAAAACTATTGTTTTTCTAAGTGGGTTTCATAATTTTCCAATGTGTTCAATATTATCCTCATATTGTTTTTTATTTGTCTCTTGAGCAGAAATCCATTTTGATCTGAATGTATAAAATAGTTTAAATATCTTTTTAATCTTTCTGCCATTATTGAAGCAAATATTTTATAATCAGCATTTAGCAGGGATATTGGTCTGTAGTTTTTTTATTTGTTGTGGGTTGGTATCTTCTTTTGGTATAAGTTTAACATATACTTCTGTCCATGAATCAGGCATTTTATTTATTGTCAAAACTTCATTCAATAGTTCCAACATTGTAGTAGAAATTGTTTCCTGAATTATCTTATAAAATTCAGCTTTTCTAGTATTTTGTCTATTTATTGCTTCTATCAACTCTATCATTGTTATTTTTTAATCTAACATGGTCTTTACTTCCTTGGGTATTTTTGCTAGTTCTGCCTCTTATAGATATTGGTGTACTTTATTTTCTTTTATTGTCCCTTGATCATATAGTTTCTCATAAAATTTCTGTACTATTTTTTTCTCTTCATTTTCATAACATAACATGTCATTTTCATCCATTAGTTGTGGTATTCTCTTTGATTCTTTTTTTTTCTTTAATTTGTATTTTAACCATCTCCCTGGTTTATTTGCATTTTCAAAATAGTTCTATTTAGCTCCTCTAATCTTTTGTGTAAGTTCTTCTTTTTCCATTAGTCCAATTTTGTGTTTAATTATATCCATTTGGTTTTTAGTATTTTTATGTTATGGATATTTTTGTAAATCCTTCTCCAATTTTTTATACTCTTGTTCTAAAGATTTTTGTGTTTGTCTCTTTTTAGTGTTCTTTCTTCTTGTATAGGTTATAATTAGCCCTCTGGTATACACTTTCATAGTGTCCCATACATTTTGTCATGAGGTTTCTCCTGGTTTGTTTTCTTTAAGGAAGAAAGCTAACTCTTTTTCAAGATGTTTAATAAATTCTTTTTCTTTCAAAATTGAATTATTCAAAGTCCATCTTGATCTTTTCTTCTGTCCTTTCCATTTAATCCTTATTGGGTTGTGGTCAGCCCAAATGTTTGTATCAATATTTGCTTCTTGAATATTAGGTATTAAATCTGTTGACATCCAAATCATGTCTATTCTTGACCATGATAAATGTCTCTTTGAGTAAAATGTAAATTGTCTATTTTTGCTATTCAATTCTCTCCAAATATCTTTAATACTCAGCTCCTCCATCATCTTAAAAAAAGATTTAGGTAATATTTTCCTGTTCTCATTTGTTTTCTGTGTTTTATAGTCCAGTTTAGTATTTACAATTGCATTGAAATCTCCTAGAATGCATATCTTATCATAATCAAGTTCAATTATTTTATTATGTAGATTTTTATAGAATTGGTCTTGCTGGTTATTGGGAGCATAGATTGCGATTAAAAGTACTTTTGAGTTATTATCTGTTATTTCAACCATCCTGTTCAAATCATAGGGTTCATTTATTTTTAACATTGAATTAAAAAGGCATCTTACCTCTTAATATCTTCGTTGGACCTATGCCTTCATAAATACTTAGAATATCCACAAACTCTCGTGTCTTAAAAGCAGTGAAGTTAATTTTGATAGATAGGTGCTTCTCCATACTAAAAGAAAAACATCATGAAAGTTGCCATATTAATGATTAGGAAATCAAAGCTGTATTGCAGAGTTACGATAATGTGAAGTGAAATTTTTGTTACTACTGGTTGTTTTTAGTTCTGTACCTGCAACAGAAAGTAGGGAAAACTCACTTTCCTGAAAAAAAATCTCACTGCACATTCTCAGCTTTATCTGAAAATGCTTTTGAAAGTCAGAGTGCTCTGCTGAATAGAGCAGATTAGGAAGCATGTCAACTAAGAAGGAAGAACCTTTTCCCTGTCCTTGTCCACCTATTCAGCCAACTCCTTTGATTCTTTCTGGAACATTTTTAGAATGAATGGAGGAATATGCAACACATTATCATCATCATCAATTGCCACCATACCCCCACCAAACAGTTTCGAATGGCTTCCTTTAGATTCAAAGGAGAAGGAAAAATTCCACAGCAATGATTGGTGAAAGTAGGTATTGGTGTACAATGTGATTCAGAGAGTCTTCTGTTTACTTTAAATGTCTGTGCTAGGTTTGCAAGATTTAAATTTGAGAGCAAGTATGCCATCATTAGGAGCCCAAGCAGCTGAATGATGCAGATACATGTGGTTTCAGGGCTAGACGAATAGGTTCCAAATGTGATCATAAATATTTTGATTGTGTATACTTGCCAAGTTTCTTGCTTCTCTGTGATATTTGGATCAAATTTTTGTGTGGCTTATTTTAGGTGGTGAATTGATTACCATTCTCTAAACTTTCCACCAGAATGGTATGTCACATCTAACCACTCTCCAAGGGGACAATCTCTTTTCTCCCAGTTAACAAGTAGTTTTTGTAGGTTGGCTAAGGATTATTATATTCAGTGCAGCAATATATTACTTAGCAGGGATAGAAGCTTTTATCAGAATATAATAATGGTTCCAAAACCAAAAAGTGTGGGTAGCAATAAGAACTCAAGCTGATTTAAATTTATAGGAGTGTCAGGGAATGGTAAAGGGCCCTATATATAACATTTTTTGGTAATTTTCAAAGATTATAGATTTCTAATTTCTATAAGAATTATCTATGGTTATCTGATATAGAAGGCAAAACAACATATTTCCTATTGTCTTTAGGCTAGAAGTCTCTAAGAGAATTTTGATAAAGAAATAAAAATATTCTATAATTTTAGGACTTTATCCCAGGGACCATAGAATAGAACTCAAACTATAATGATTATTAAACATGGCAGTTGCATTATATTACAAACAGTGCTTATTTACACTCTGTGTTACAGTTTATGTTATATAAGAACAAATATTTCAAATACTCAAGAGGCAAATATCAAAATGCGAAACAGCAAACTGTTTTAATTTTAGTAACGATTACAGTTTCCAAAAGACATGTAAAATATATTTTTGATCACAATAATTTCAACATTCTTGTCACAATCAGTTTGGAAACAACAATTGAGCATTGATCTATGTGGTCTATAATTCTTTCTGTTCATTCTTTCATAGTACTTATGCAGATGGCAAAATCTTAAAATTATATTTGACAAAAATAAACACAAGAAAACTTTGAAAAATGCAACTTAGTAAAGCTCATTTGTTAAGTTCCATAACATGTAATTTGACCAAAATAAGTCATTTTTTTTTATCAGTACATTAAAATGAATAATGTTACATGGTTCAGAAAGAAATATAAAATTGAATGAAGAAACAGTAATGTCACCATAAAAGCAATGCTAGTATAAACAGCAAGGATAAAAATCCTTCTCAGCTTCAGCTGAAATTCTGTTTTGTTTTTGTTTTTTTGTTATTAATTCCTACAGAAGCAGATGATGACAATATTATGAGTAATGTTTGAAATATGTGTTTATATTACCATGAAGGACTGTAAAAATACAAAAAATATTCAATTAATATTTCCTTAATATACACACAATCATGTGAACAGTTTCTTCACCAGATGAATTGTAATAGTTTCTTTCTTTCTTACACATTTTAATATTTGATTCCAGGGGAAAAAAAATGCAAATTGGAGTCTCAAGGCAATTAAAAGATATTCTGTTAAAATCTTTAGGGAACCAATTAATATGGATCAGGTAGACAAGTAGATTAAAAAAACTGCACAGCTTCAATCCTATTGTCAAATCCTATGGCAGATTAATTGAGACCCCACATTGATGTTAGCATTTTGTTCTTTGGTTCCATGTTGTGTATATAGTAGTAGCTTTTATCTTTGGTGTTACTACTTGTTTTTCTCTGAAAATAAGACCTGATCTTATTTTCTTTTGGCCCTAAAATAAGTATCAGATCTTATTTTCAGGGGATGTCTTCCCTGCTTACCTTAGGATGATCATAGCCATGCCTCCCATGCCTAAATACCTGTCACACCACTGGCTGACTTCTTCTGCATCAGTGCCACTGCTCATGGCAGGGCACTGCATGGTACTTCACACTGGTGCTGCCACTCATGGCAGGAGGCTACATAGCATATTGTGCTGTTGTGTACATGAGCTGCGGCACAAGCATGATGTGCCATGCAGCACCTGCTGTAAGTGGTGGCACCAGTGCAATGAACCTCACAGTGGCCTGCCATGAGCAGTTGCACTTGCATGATGCACAATGTGGCATCTGGCTGTGAGCAGTTGCAAGTGCCCGCAGAAGTTAGGCAGCGGCACGACAGATGTTAAGGCATGGGGGACCTGGCTGCAGCAGTCCTAAGGTAAGCAGGTGCATGGGGCAGCTCCATCCCTCTACCCACTCCCTAACTTTATTTTTATACATACACCTCACCCCACCTTATACAACCAGATGGTGGGCAAGACTTAACCAGGGCTTAGTTTTGGGGTAAGGCTTATATTAGGCAGAGCTATGAAAATCAAATTAGGGCTTGTTTCTGGGGTAGGTTGTATTTTCAAGAAAGCTGTATTTTTTTCCTATTTTGTTATTTTTTGCCTATAACCACTTGGAAGTAGCTTACAAATGAAATAATTAAATAAATAAGAAAATGGCTCACATGAGTTAGCTAGAGAATGGTTTGTTATGCTTTCAAATTAGATAGCCATTGCAATATTAGGAAAATATGGTGTCAACTCATGAAGCATCCCTGACCTGCCCTCGAGTTGCCTAGAAAAGGGGGATGGGGAATTGAACTTCACAGCTGCATCAAGGAGCTTGTATTTCAATCAAAACAAAGCACATTCCAGCCAGCACATCAAGGTCATCTCTACAGAAATCCACAGTGGCCAGAGGAAATGGTTTCTACAATCCACAAAATTGCTTTGTTGGGGAATGTGATTGATGACACACCTTGAGGGGAGAGGGAAGCAGGGTCAGAGCCAAAGCACGAATTAAGTGAGGTCAGAGTTGGCTCCATTTGGTCCGTGCCGACATAAAGCTCCTAATAAATAACTGAATTTCTTTTGAAGCTTGCCTGAGGCTCATGATTTAATTAGGGCATCGGTTGGAACCCTGACACATAGATCTATGAGGAGCATCATGATAAATATTGGCTAGATTGCATAAATTAAACAGTTAAAATATTAATATAAGGAAGAAAGATCACTTTGATTGCAGAAAGTGTTCAGTTAAAATCTAGAATGTTATAAAGTTCCTTACTTTATTATCCATCGACAAAAAAGATTTGAGCTATAGGGTTCTGGATAATGAATAAAATGGAAAGATCCAGACAAGCCATCTAGAATGAATTTTCCATCACAAGGTGTAGCTGTAAATGCAGGGTGATAAAGAAATGAGGAAAATAAAACAGTTTGATTTTATTTCAAAGTATTTCATCTTTGATAGAGTAAATATTGGTAATGATAAAAATATGTCCACTCAAAAAATAATGTCATTGATTAGAAAACAAATTTTAATTTATGTGTATTATCTAGAGACAGATTCTGTGTGACTCAAATAAAATTCTAAGTTTAGAAAAACTATTTAAAAATAACAAAAATTATTAATCATCAAAAAAATACCACTTCAAAATAATACTTCAAACTATAAAGATTGAACAAAGAGTTTAATCATTCTGAAACAACATCTTTAAAAAAATAAAATAAAAATTTGCTTAATAAAATTATATTCTACATAACTCTGGATTTTCAGAAAGTTGTATTGTTGTTAATAGTTCAGTACATCAGTAGTACTTATGTTTTGAAAGCTGAATTAAGATATTGAAGAGTTGCTTAATTTTATGAAAGGAGGGCTTCTTGGGTTATTTGTTAGTTATATTTTAGTTGAGATATGCACTGATTTATTGAAACTATTAAAATTATACCTTTACTGTGCCTTTAATTCATTAATTTGTATTCCACCTTTATTATTATTATTACAAATAACTAAAGACAGCAAATATATCCAACACATCTTCTTCCTCCTATTTCCCCCACAACAATAATCCTGTGAGATGGGCTGAGCTGAGAAAGAGCTCAAGAGCTGAAATCATGTTCTCCTGTTTTCTAGCCTGCTGCCTTAACCACTAAACCAAATTGGCTCTTGGCTTTATATCCCTATCATGTACAGAACTTTTGTCAATAAAATATCAGTGCAGTGTACATTATTAATATACACAATTTCTACATGATTTCACATGTAGAATTAATTTTGTCATTTGGTGAATGAAAAAAAAGCAATACTGAAAAGCTGCAAAATATAATGCACCATAATTTTGCAAATATCTTCTTTCTGCTCTTTGTGAATTCTCCATATAGAGGTGCTCTGGGCCCTTCAAGTTTACTATTTGTAGTTCTGAATATTACAAATGATAATCAAAACATTAAATTGCTTTTCTGATTGATATCTAGCATCCTGCACTTTATGGACATTATGGTATGAGAAATGGAACTTAACATCTTGACTACATGCAATTCTTATTGGAACCTCAAACAAAGGACATTAATGTTAACTGTATATTTAGTAATTGAAGTGATCTTCTCTAAGTAAATAATGAGTTCTTGGTAGAAATTTTTGAGTTAATTTAACTTGAAAAAAACGAAGCCTGCAACTCATAGTTTGTACATGATAAACAGACAATGAGAATAATCAGCTAAACTAAATTTCTCAGTTAGCTGGATTTTTCAGTGAGTTTCATTAGCAGATGAGTTAATGAATTTCATGACTGGAAGATTGAAAAGGAGGACCTTTGCATCGCTCTAAAATATTTCTACAATTTTCATATATTCATTGCTGTTTCCTTGTTATAATCTACTTGATGACCAGGGAAGGAGGAACACCCCCCCCTCTATTTTTTGTTTGAATGGCTTTAAATGTCACCAATAAGGTGGTTAAATAAATATTTTATAGACAACCAGAAGACAATTTTCAAATATCTATAATTCTTTTGTTATACTAATATATTGGAACCTGAACTTTGAGATAATTATAAGAAAATAATGTTAAAATTTTGAAAACATTATGTTCTGTAGACAAAGCTAAATATTGGATGAACATAAAATAAAATATGAATATGAGAAAATCTCTGGTCTATGACTGTAATAAATTGAATTTAATTGAATATGACAAAAGTGAAAAATGCATTGTATATGCAATGCATTCATACAGCTACATTTTCTTTATAAAAATATTATGTCTTTCTCAGGAAACTTTTCAGATCAGAAACTGCTTATATTCTCAGAGGGTGAGTGCAACCTTTTTGTCTTTTTTGCCAGATGGGAAAATTGAATTTTTCAAGAATAAGGGAAGTAAATAAAGTAAAAGTACTGAAGAAGATATTTCCATTAATAAGAAAGGAAGATCATGCACAATTCAGATTGGAAGTATCCGACTCCTTTTTATCAAAAGGGATTACATAGAAGGGAATATATTGATAGTGGCTTCAAATTATGCACAAGTCTTTTGAAGGTTCAATTCAGATTGCTTTTTATAAGCATTTCCCTTCACATGGAGGAACCATAGAATCAGCTCAAAGTCTCCCAATTTCATTTAGGATTTAGCATATCCAGTGCACAATTGTAAGTATTACCATAAGCATAACTGAAGGCAGTATCAAATATACATATTGTTTAGCATAAAAGTTAAATATGTACATAATAATATAAGACTCCTTTGTAGACCACAATTATTTGTGTGTGTGTGTGTGTGTGTGTGTGTGTGAGAGAGAGAGAGAGAGAGAGAGAGAGAGGGAGGGAGGGAGAGGAGAGAGTGTCAGTCTCCTAGTGACTACCTGGACGAGTCTCTCCAGTTTTCTTGACAACATTTAAGAAGTGGATTGCCATTGGCTGCTTCCTTGGGATAAAAGAGATTGACTAGCCCAACATTGCCAAGTGGCTTTATGGTTAAGGGAGGACTGGAATTCATGTTCTCCTGGTTTATAAAATGGCACCCTAACCACTACACAAAACTATCTGTCATACAGTATTGACAACCACAATAAATTATCTATTAATATTCTTAGAAGAGAATTTTTTAAATAAACGTTTGAAGAATTTATATCTGAAAAGTAAAACAAAACAAATGCCAGCCCTGCTTGACTTAGTTTATTTTTATATTTTAAACATTCATATTAAACATTCCTCTGGAAATCCAGAGGCTAATTACAGAAGTTTACATTCTTACCACATCTGTTTTCATCTGAGCCATCTGGGCAGTGTGGTATTCCATCACAAAATAATTCCTTTCTGATGCAGCTTTCATCATCAGCGCAAAGATCATCTGAAGGCAAACATTTACCTAACATATATTTCAAAAAGAATACATGATTAATTTTTGTATTCCAGAATAGAAAATATTCCACCCATAGGATATAATCAAGAACCTATTCAATTATCTTACATTTGAATGACATATTTTCAGAAATAGGCAATTAAAGGGACTTCTTAAAATGTAATGAAAAATTCCATAATTTATTTGTCTAAGAAAGTTCTGTTTCACATTGACCTATACTGTACTCTGTGATGTGAATATGCAATGGAGATTGATGTAGTATAAAGTAAGACAGCTACTCATCTGAAATAAAACTTTTGAAGTGGCTTTAGATTGGATTCTCTCTCTGTTATTATCTAGCACCTGACAATAAAAGCGGGCTTGCTTTCTAGTGGCTTTTTACTGAGAGTTTTGTATTGAAGATGAATTATAAATGCACTCAGTAAACTGACACAATAATAATGTTAAATAATAGTGGAAATATTACTATGATCACAATAAATGTGAATTTTTAGAAATAGATAAAATTACTGAGCTATGCCTTTCTTTAATGAGATGTTTTCTCCTTATTCTGGAAACTTAATCCTGCTATTAAATTAAGTGAGAAAGTTTAGCCTTGATTATTTCCAATGGCAAAATTTATGAAATTTGCCAGAACAATTTTTTGCTGATGTCAACAACAGAGTTATTTTAATTTATTTTATTGTATTTATTTTATTTATTTTTTATTTGTTCTTCTGAAAACTAAACAACAATGCCATCTACTGGAGAAGGAAAATGAATCCATTGGGTATGTTTACTTGTGGTTACTGATTTTCTTTCCAAGTTAAAGTGATACACATACACAAAGACACACACACACAGAGACCACACACACACACACACACACACACACACACACGGAAGGGGGGGGGAGAGAGAGAGAGAGATTCATTTAACAAACTCATGTTGAAATGTAAGTTTAAAAATGAGGCTTATTTATCTAAATATTTACGAATTGTTATATGTTCCAATTAATAAAATAGATAGAAATCAATTCACTGTTACAGAAAAAGAGTAATATTCCCGAATCCAGTATTTGAATGTGTTATAAAATAATGAAAATTATTTGTAATTATTTGAATAGATAGATATATTCTAGAAGAAACACACATATATATATACACATATATTTTTGTTATAAAAATAGATAAAAGGACATTAGTGTACTTAAAAAAATGACTATGTATGTTTGAGTTTGAAAATTAAATAAATACAATTTGTTTACCCAGAATTTTAATCTGTTTTATTTTTTTAACATGTCACAATCTATATATTAACTTAAATGAAATCAGAACTTGTATTTATTGTGCTTAGCCCTGGAAAGTGAAAGTTTCAATTACAAAACTAAAACTAATATGAAAATTTTTTCACAAAGCAATTTTATTTTAAAAAGTTGGGGGATTCTATATACCGTACCTAAGTTATATGTTATTACATCTTGATATTGTTAAATTTCTAACCTACCATTGAATTATACACAGTACTGTTTAGAATTTGATCTTCCAAGTTAAGTTGATAAAAGAAATGAAAATGTTTCTGTATCATCAACTAAAACAATAAAATCTGTATTTACTAACCAGGTGTTGTTGAAATAGTTGTACTAGTTATCCCCAATCCTGGAAAGTGAATCAAACAACAAAAGAAAAAGTTAATTTTTTAAAAGCTGTTTTTATTAATTAATAGAATGAAAAGTTCTCCAGTGTAGTGGTACATTCTATATTTATGAACCAGAAGTTGTTGAAGGACTGCTTGTACTAAATATTTCCAAATCTGCAAAATAAATCAAACAAAATAAAGAAAAAAGGGATAATTTTCTCAAGGGGTTTTCATTAATTAATAAAACAATAATATGCATTTTGTATTGACTAACCGGATGTTGTCAAAGGACTGCTTGAAGTAAATATTCCCAAATCTGCAAAATGAACCAAACAGACTTTTTAAAAAATCATAAAAATTCTGCTTTATGTTTCTAACTTAATTTGTATTTATTATTTTCACTTTATACAATAATGCAAAAAATGAATGAATTTTGTTCGTATTAACTAGGTGTTACGAAAGGGTTGTTAGTAAATATTCCAAAATTAGTGAAACAGAAAGTAAAGCAAATGAACAGCCTCTCCCTGTGCAATTATTTCTAAATAAAATCAAAGCTCAATATAAACATTTTTTTTGCTTGTGATTGTAATTTTGTTCTGCTTCCTGACTTTATATTCCTTCAATATATTATATGTTATTACATATTGATATTGTTAAATTTCTAACCTACCATTGAATTATACACAGTACTGTTTAGAATTTGATCTTCTAAGTTAAGTTGATAAAAGAAATGAAAATGTTTCTGTATCATCAACTAAAACAACTTCAGCCATGTGAGATAAACTGTAAGAGAGCAATTTATATATAGGAATCAAAGACAAGAAAGGAGGAAATTTGTGCCAAGTGATGGATTTTTTCCCAAGTAATTTCAGTTTGGAGTTCAAATTTTGAATATAAAGTATGATACTTTAAATATTCCTACACAATGTATGCTATAAAATATTTTTTTTAAGTGCATGGATTATAGCAATTACAAAATAAGGGAGAATATTTGTAGCTCAGGGTTGAAATGAGGAGTCCTTGATACTCTCTGAGCTTGCTTATTTTCTTGCAGACATTTCATTACTCAAACTAGGTAACATCACTGATTACAAAATAGAGAAAAAATTGTATATATGTTATGAACTAAATAAATCACCCCAGTTTTTCATAATCACCAGGTTCATTGGAAAAAGAAGAACAGCAGATCCTGAATCTCAAATAACATTTCGATCAGAGTTTTAAGGCTCAGTACTATCTTTAAAATATGAAAAAATACTTTGTAAACCCCTTTAAGCTGGTTTAATGAATATGAAGTCTCTCCCCCACTCCCAGATTCACATAGCCATGTAGTCATGTGAGACCATATTATTAATATTTCATTCTTGCTGGAAAAATGTTTCACCTTCTAGCCAATCGTGAGTTTGAAACTTGGAATAATTTTCATATGTGTGTGTGTGTGTATACACACCCACACACAGAGAGAGAGACACACCCACACATACAGGTGAAACTCGAAAAATTAGAATATTGTGTAAAAGTTCATTTATTTAGTAAAGCAAGTTAAAAGGTGAAACTAATATATGAGATAGACTCATTCCATGCAAAGCAAGATAGTTCAAACCGTGATATGTCATAACTGAGATGATTATGGCTCATGAAACCCCAAATCTACAATCTCAGAAAATTAGAATATTGTGAAAAGGCTCAAAGTGTCCCACTCTAATCAGCTAATTAAGCCATTACATCTGCAAAGGGTTCCTGAGCCTTTAAATGGTCTCTCAGTCTGGTTCAGTAGGAATCACAATCATGGGAAAGACTGCTGACCTGACAGTTGTGCAGAAAACTATCACTGACACCCTCCATAAGGAGGGAAAACCTCAAAAGGTAATTGCAAAATAAGTTGGATGTTCCCAAAGTGCTGTACCAAAGCACATTAATTGAAAGTTATGTGGAAGGGTTGGGCGAAAAAGGTGCACAAGCAGCAGGGATGACCGCAGCCTGGAGAGGATTAGCAGGAAAAGGCCATTCAAAAGTGTTGGGGACTTTCACAAGGAGTGGACTGAGGCTGGAGTCAGTGCATCAAGAGCCACCACACACAGGCGGATTCTGGACATTGGCTTCAAATGTCGTATTCCTCTTGTCAAGCCACTCCTGAACAACAAACAATGTCAGAAGCATCTTACCTGGGCTAAAGAAACACAGAACTGGTCTGTTGCTCAGTGGTCCAAAGTCCTCTTTTCTGATGAGAGCAACTTTTGCATCTCATTTGGAAACCAAGGACCCAGAGTCTGGAGGAAGAATGGAGAGGCACACACTGCACGATGCTTGAAGTCCAGTGTGAAGTTTCCACAGTCTGTGTTGATTTGGGGAGCCATGTCATCTGCTGGTGTTGGTCCACTGTGCTTAATTAAGTCCAGGGTCAACGCAGCCATCTACCAGGAGATTTTGGAGCACTTAATTAATCCTTCCGCGGACAAGCTTTATAGGATGCTGACTTCATTTTCCAGCAGGACTTGCTACCTGCCCACACTGCCAAAAGCACCAAAACCTGGTTCAATGACCGTGGGATTACTGTGCTTGATTGGCCAGTAAACTTACCTGACCTGAACCCCATAGAGAATCTATGGGGCATTGCCAAGAGAAAAAGACCAAACAATGCTGAAGAGCTGAAGGCCGCTATTGAAGCATCCTGGTCTTCCATAACACCTCAGCAGAGCCACAGGCTGATAGCTTCCATGCCACACCGCATTGAAGCAGTAATTGCTGCAAAGCGGGGCCAAACCAAGTACTGAGTACATTTGCATGCTTATACTTTTCAGAGGTCCGATATTGTTCTATGTACAATCCTTGTTTTATTGATTGCATGTAATATTCTAATTTTCTGAGATTGTGGATTTGGAGTTTTCATGAGCTGTAAGCCATAATCATCACAATTATAACAAATCACGGCTTGAACTATCTTGCTTTGCATGTAATGAGTCTATCTCATATATTAGTTTCACCTTTTAACTTGCATTATTGAAATAAATGAACTTTTGCATGATATTCTAATTTTTCGAGTTACATACACACGCACACACACACATACACAAATATAAAATCTACTATCTATCATCTATCTATTTATCTATGCATATTGGGATCATAAATATTTTACAATGGAAAGCAATAGAAAGTGTTGGTATGAACATAAATACAGTGGTGAAGATGCCAGTATCAAAGCAAGAATTGGCAGAAAATAACCAATTAGATAACACTTTCCTGTATTTAAAAAAAAAATGTGGATTACCTGTTATTTCTATACTGTTCACATCAATGTTAAAAGTCTGTAAGAGTTCACTTTTATTCTCTTTGATGCCATAGACCAACACATTCTTTATCTTTACTTCAGACACCCACCGTACAAAGAAAAGTTTGAAGAGTACAATTACACTACCATTTCTGGACAGAGATAAACAACAACAAAAATTAGTATACAAACATACATTGATTTTTATTGAATAACAGATGAATAACCAGAATCATGGCACTAAACTAGCATGATTCTTAATGGCTTGAATTTTCCTCCTTTTTTATAACATCATATACATCTAACTATATAACACTGAAATTGTTTGTAACAAATTTAAAGGCTAAAAGGCAACAAAAAGGGTGTGTGTGTATTTTTTTGTTTAAAACATGCTTGCTTTCCACCCACTTTGATTAACTTAGAGAGCCAGTTTGTATGTAGGGCCCTTCCAATTGGAGAAGTCATGTTTCAATACTGTTCCAGAAAGCCAAAATGGTGGGAGTAGTTTAGTGATGGGATTCATTTTTTTGCACTACTGGTTCTGTAGGCATGGCTAGGGGGCGTGGCCATGTGACTGGGTGGGCGTGGTTTTTTGCAACATCCCCGCACTGTTTTTTGGGCTTTCTGGGCCTCAGAGAAGCCTCCTGGGGGGCATTTTTGCTCTCAGAAGGCTTCCTTTGGGCTCAGTCAGGCAGAAAAAGGAAGATAGGAGGGGCACTCAGCACTCCCCTGCACTCTGTTCTGGGGCATTCTGAGCCTCAGAGAAGTCTCCTGGGGGGGGTGTTTTTGCTCCCAGATGGCTTCCCTTGGGTTCAGGAAGTTAGAAAATGGAGGACAGGAGCGGCACACAGAACTCCCCCATGCTTCATTTTGGGGCCTCCCTGGGGCCCAGGAAGGCAAAAGATGGAGGGGGTGGGGGGCTGTGCCTCCCTCCATTTTTGCCTTCCTGGGCCTCAGGGAAGCCTCCTTGTCAAAGCAGTAAGTAAGTGAGAGGAATCCCAGCACAGCTGATATTAGGAACAGCTGATTGTTGGGAGGGGGAAAAAAAGAAATACTTTAAGAAGTGACTGGGCAGCGTGCATCAGGCAGGTGAGCCGGGGTGAGCGAGCATTGGGTGGATGGGGCAAGTAAGTGAGCAGTGACTGGGTGACTGGGTTGGGGGCATGGCCAGCCAGAAGTTACTACCAGTTCTGCAACTCACACTACCAGTTCAGTTGAACCGGTGCAAAGCGGCTGAATACCACCACTGGAGTAGTCGTTGCCTTCGGTGGTAGAGTATTCCACAGGGATGGGGTCACAGCAGAAAAGTCTCTTCTCCTAGAACCTGCCTGTTTGAATTCCTCAGCAGATGGGACCCATAGCAAGCCTCTTCAGTTGGAATGAGTGGGCCAAGCTACTCTTCAATTGGGAGATCACATAAATAGGACAATGGCTTATATCAATATAATAGCTTCCTATTTTCTTAAACATATTAATTTAAAAAGACATGGAATCAGACATCTGTCTTACATAGATAGAAATCATGTTTACAATCAAGCAATGATATTAATAAATGAACTAATTAATATTAAAACTATTATAAGTTTAACAATCTGCTTAACCAGTCTAAGACCAATGAGGAAATTATGATTATATGTAAAAAAATAAATTTAAAATTTAGATACAGATAAATCCACAGAATCCAGAATGATGATCAGTTATTACTTCCTTTATACATTTATATAGATACACAGTAAGGAATAAAGGAGTACAAATTGCAAATAATTGAAGTGCAGTGGTTGAAAGTAATTAACATGATATACTTTTTAAATTTAACTTTAAAATAATTTAAATTACACTTTACAATTTAAACTTGAACTTTAATTTTAAAAAATAAAATTTAAAATTTATGTCCATTGATAAATTGACATTAACAAAATCAATTTTCCAAAAGATGTGGGGTTTTAACATAAGAGCAATTAATTGCTCAATACCTCACCTTTATTTTCATTGGAAATACATTTTCTGAAGGAGTTGTACCATGGAACTATAAAATAACTCTTTTTAATCATGTTGCTATTCCATAGAAATTCATGAGAGCACCAGGTATATTACATATTATATTCTTGAAGACTGTTATGTTAACATGTTATTTGTAACCCCCACATGGTTGGACTCTCCTAGCTTATAGCTTTATCTTGACTATGTGGCATTGTTTTAAGTGAAATAAGTAGTTTTGTACTTCATTTTATTGTATCTTATTAATTTTTAAAAATATTATCCAGCGCAGCCAAGAAATAAGATCAAAGGATGCTATTTAAAATATGATTTATTGATGTTGCCAAATTACCCTGAGATAAGTCCACTTAGTCTCTGAGAGTCTAAAAATGTAGTAAATTTTATCTGAATTTGTCTTCTATATATTGTTGTTGATGTGACATATCTTTTTCGTCTTCTATCCTTTAACTGGAACATTGGTATTTTCCACAAATGAGGGGTCCTTGCTACCCTCTGAGCTTGGTTTTTTGTTGCAGACTATTAAAATTATCTAGCATCTTACAGTTTATCTAAACTAGATAACTTCATCTATTGCCATCATCATATTAGTTTAATTTTCTTATTGTCAGTTATTCTCTGTATCATTTTCTCTAGCAAGAATAGGACTGAGGTTAGTGGTAACTATATATTTTTCTTCTGTTGATGTAAAGAAACATTTGTTTCAGTTACAGCCTTTAGTCATTGTAAAGACCTATATCAGTATTTTGTCACTGAGGCAGCAATGACTAAGAAATGGTTAATTCTTTTAAGGTCAAAGGGAAGGTGCAGTATATTCAAAGACTTTTCCTTTAATTTCTTAAATGATTCATATACTGTAATGCTTTAGGCAATTATTTCTATGCTATGTTTCTGACTTATCAGAATTTCAAATATGAAATCAGATTGCAACAAAGAACATTGTAATACAATGCATGTTTTCAATAGAAAAATTGCAAGGAAATGTTCTTTGAATTAAAAGGATACATGTACTGCAGACAAAAAAGTAATGAAATCAAAGTTCTACAAGTTGAGTGGGTTTGGTTTGCAATCAATTCAACAAGAACTGCTTGTTCTTGTTAAATATTGAACAGCCATTCTAAAGGATCACATTTCACAATTAAATCACACTTTGTTAACCTATGGTTTACTGATTAATAAAGCTAAAATCGAAACCCGAACTAAACCACACAGAATTTTATGTCAAGTGTATGAGAGTAGACTCCTATTTTTATCACTTTTAAGTACTATGTATGAAGAAAGATTTCATGAACCTCATAACTTGAGAAGTGAAAGATAAAAACCTCTACAAATTATATGCATAATATGATTTCTACTGTCATGTTTAAAATCATGTTTTGGTCTATGATGATTACATGGATTTAGAGCACTATCACAATAATCCATCTGTTAATTGAAATGAGGAACATAAAACCAGGCTGAGATTGTCTAATGTTAAAAGCTAAACAGACTTGAGAGTGGTTATGACTTGGACAAGATTTCATCAAAAATTCCAGAATTCTGGACTAGACTATGAATGAGAGTTTTAGAATACTGAAATGGATATTGCTCTGGAGATGTTTGTCTGTATACAGCATATCTTCATTTTTATTCAAGTAAAAGATTTACCCTCTTATTTAACTTTTTATTAATATAATGGGATAGCTAATCCTGTGGAACTTGAGAATGATGATCCTGGTTAGTGAAACGTTAGCAAATACATACTTTCATTTTTATTTAAGCCAAACATTTGCCCTCTTCTTTAATTTATAGCATATATAAAATAATCTGACAATTAAAACTACTGAACTTGAGAATGTGATTCTATATTTTAATAACATTAGCCAAGGTATTCAATGATTGTTAAAATGAATGATGAGGAAACGCATCTTATTTCTTAACAGATCTGATTAGGATATGGACTAAAGAAAATGATTCCTGGAGAAATTCATCCTCCATAATTTTGTGATAGGTAAAGAGAGTGGTTATGAACCGGGATAGCCAGTTCTGTTATGGAGGACATTAGGTTGGATGATTTGGGATCAGTCACTCTTTCTTTTGCCTCTAGAGTAGAAAGTAATAAAACATATTTTTTAGCAAATCGTACCAGACCAGTATGGTTCTAAGGGTAGTTCTCAACTTACGATCATTCATTTAATGACTGTTTGAAGTTACATCACTGCTGAACATTGACTTATGAGCAGTCCTCCCATTTATGGTCATTGCACAAAATTCATGTGATCAAAATTTGGGTGCTCGTAATTGGCATGTATTTATGATAGTTGCAGACCCCCATGGTCTTATGATCACCATTTATTATCTTTCCAGGGACTTCTGACAAGCAAATTCAAAGGCAGAAACTACATTCATTTAATAGTGGCATAATTCATTTAATGAGTTAACAACCATGGAAAAAAAGATCATAAAATCAAGTGCATCTTAATGACCGCATCACTTAGTGATGGAAGTTCCAATCACAATTCTAGGTTAAGGATCACTTATATAATAGCTCATAATTTATAAGTATGCTTCATTCAGGAATGGATTCCTTTGGGCTAATAAATGGAAAGCAAAGGAACTTTTCCCCCACTTTTGATTTCTTTCCTTAATTTTCATTTATTTTTACTACTACTCTTTCATTAAGTAATAAGGAAATAAGGAAAATTTACTCCAATTTTCCTATAGAGCATAGAACAGAATCTATACTGAGCATAAGACAATTATGTATGGATTTTAAAACTGTAGCCTTAGAAGCAGATGAAGAGGAATAAACATAATGCTAGTGTGAGAGATCCTATGATTTCAGTAATATTTCAAACGTGTGCACATAATGTCCATCCTAATATTAATTTTTATGCAAAATGAACTTACCTGAACTGTATAACTTTACTTCCCTTATAATCATTTTGAAGTTCACTTCCATGTAACATATCATCTATCTAAATATACAAAGATGAACAATATAAAACATTGTAGAATATATTTTATATTTTTCTAATATAAAAAATATAAAAAAATGATATCTAAAAAAAAATCCCCTGAACTCCTCTTCCTATAAAGGCAAGAAATATTCAGGGGTTTTTTTCTTACAAATTAACATTTTTTAAATAATATCATGGCTTTGTTGATGTAGATATATATATAGAGAGAGAGAGAAAAGAAAGCTGATCCGACAGACAGACAGATAAACTTTTGTTAATTCAGCAGTTACATTATTCTGCTCAAAAATAATGACCATGAAGGAAAAGAATACACACATACATATGCATACACTAATTGATTTATATCAATTGACTGTCAGAGGCAAATAATCAGGACCATTCTTGCACATAGGCTTGAATAAATCTTCTATGTCGAAACCTTTTTCAACATAGAAGATTTATTCAAGCCTATGAGCAAGAATCAATCTATGGTCAGCACTAAATTGGCAATAGATAAGCATCAACGGAATTCAACGGGACTAGATTTGGATCTCTTGTGGCAATGTAAAGAACTGTAAACTTATGACATGTTTAACTTGGACAAATGCTCATGTTCTGAGTTCCACAACCAATGTCACCTAAGTGGCCCTTATAGTTCCCATCGTGACTGTGTTTAAAAATGTTTGAAAACCTGGTTATCCCTTCAGGCCTTAAATTATGGTGGGTGGCAAATCTCTTGTAAGAATATTCTTTGGTTAGCTCACATGGTTTCCTTCTCTAGACAGCTATGGCTCTTTTCTATGTTTTGTTTGTTCTTAGCATTGTAATATTGTATACTATATACAATTTTTGAATTTGCTTGCTTTCTAAACTTTTCTGTCTATACTGTAGTTCTATGTAGCTATTTAACCTGCAGTATATTGCCATTCTATTGTAGAAAAACTTTGAACAACAAAAAGGTTTTTAAAAAATAAAAATTTAAAAGCAGTAATATAAAAATAAAATACATACCTGACCATACTTGTCAGCAACATTATATATTTACATTTAAAGTGGGCTTGTATGTCAATCTAATTCAATATCTATGGGAATATTTAGATAGTTAAAACCTTTTAAAAAGATGTCTTGCACATAGGCTTGAAAAAGTCTTCTATGTCTATGAGTGTGACATTGGAGGCAGATAATAGAGAAGTCACTACAACAGGGAAGGGATTACCTTTAATTGATGAACACAGAACATGCCATCTCTTATGGACTTATACATGCACATGCATGGTGGCACAATGAGTAGAATACAGTTTTGCAGGCCAATTCTGCTGGCTGTCAGCAGTTTGATTGTTATTGGCTCAAGGTTGACTCAGCTTCCATCTTTCCGAGGTCAGTAAAATGGGAACCTAGATTGGTGGGGGCAATATGCTGACTCTGTAAACCTCTTAGAGATGGCTGCAAAACATACATAAGTTTAAGTGCTATAGCTTTTATATTCTTCTCACTTGCACATTCATTCACATATATTGATAGGGCATTGACTTATTTAATCAAAAAAGGGAAGGTGGAAATACAGAAATAATTCAGTAAAAATAAGTTTATCTTTACCATTTGCTGAACATCAAAGGCAAGAACTTTGAAGTCTACTGATGATTTATTTTGCAAAGCAGGGGTGAACAATGCTCCTGATTTTATTGTAAATATTCCCTTTGCTTCATGGTCTTTTGGTCCTGATTTTAAAAAAAAGTATAGTGAGAAAGCAAATTGTTTCTCTCATTCTATTATTAGTTTAGACTTTTTTTGAATTTTTTCTATCTATGAATAGATATGAATGAATGGATTTATGCAAGTAGAGATGGAATAAATATTTAATTGCATATATTGTCATTATATACAGTTTTCATTCTATTTCTAGCATTGAAACAGACGTGGTATTCAGCAGGTTCTGACAGTTCTGGAGAAATGGTACCAGAAATTTTGAGTAGTTCAGAGAACCAGCAAATACCACCTAACTGGCCCTGCCCCCATCTATTCTCTGCCTCCTGAGTCCCAGATGATCAGCTGGGTCTTCTTTTGTTGCCCTGCGCAGGAGAATGGAAAGCAGGTTAGTAGGGTGGGGAGGGAATGGGATTTTATAGTATCCTTCCCCTGCCATGCTCACCAAGCCATGCCCCCACCAAGCCATGCCATGCCCACCAAGCTACACTCACAGAACCGGTAGTAAAATTGTTTGAATCCCACCATTGCATTGAAGTAATACAAATGTACTTTTCCAAACTTGGATAGAAATCAAAAGATGTAAGAATTAGATGCAGTGAAAGGGTGAGAAAACCTGAGTCAAAGAAAGTTTATTGAATTAATAAACAATCACTGGAACAACTGTAAAAAATATCATTAAAAAAGCAGAGAACATAGGAGCCTAGCTGGCCAGAATGAAATGGCTACACAGATTAATGATCAACTATAGGAGGTGAGGGAACTTTGGCAAATGTTGTAGTCAATCAGATAGATTCTTGCTAGATCAAAAACCCTATGTTTAAAAGGGCTTAAGACAACTTAGAACACAAAACAATTCAAATCATGGGACCTAATGGAGAGTGACATCATATTTTTCTGTACTTAGGAAACAATGGATGATCCATTCTGACAACAGCATAAGCAGAAACTCCAAGACTATTCTTAGTTCAGACAGAACACAAACAACTGAACTATTCTGTACTAATGATGCTACAGTTGAAGACCAGGATGTGGTTGTGGGAGAATATGTATTTTTTAAAAAGCCAGGTCTGATGTTTAGAAGTTTATGAAGTTGATACAAATTGAGAACACTTAGATTCATGTTTCTGGAAAATAGTGTTGTGTTATCTTTTACAGATCTAAATATATGGTCAACCAACCCTATTCACATACTAAGAATTATATTAGTGCTTTATTGTAAGATAAAATGACTTCTTTATATTAGCCTCCTTTATAATACCGTGCTGATAGGTATATGATATAAACTGAGTTATTAATTTAAATTTCATCAATCTTGCTGTATTGTTTTATTTACTTTAATTAATTACATAGACCCGGGTCCCCAAACTTGGCAACTTTAAGACTTGTGGATTTCAACTCTCAGAATTCTCAGAGTTGAAGTCTACAAGTCTTAAAGTTGCCAAGTTTGGAAACCTCTGACATAGACCATACTGGACCTAAGAAGAGGCTTGGAGTTGTTTTTAATTCATACTAATAAAACCATAGAAAACTGATATAATACATATAAAAATATGTATGGCTTTAGTCATGTAAATCAATAGTTTCAAGTTGGATTAATATTGCTGAGATACTAGTGAGAGAGCAATAATAGGCAGACAATTTTAGTATGAGGTATGATGTTAGGAAGCTAATACTTTCAGAGTATTATTAGAATGAAAGATTAACACTTCTCTTAGGCATGAAACAGTTTTCTTATAGTTTATGGTATACAGATACAACATTATGAAAAATGATAATTAGAACATATTTTTAAAGTTTGTTTAAAATAAATTAAATATAGCACTAACTTCTCAGATATATAGTTAATCAATATCTTATAAATATATCATGCTGTTACAAACTTCCAGGGTAGAATATCTGCTTTTAATATGTTGCTTTTTTCAAGTAGTCATTACAGTATCAAACAAAATGAGCAATTAAATACTGTATATATCAACAGCAATTTAAGATTGTTCATTTTCAACATAAAACTAATTACAAAGTTGTAGTTTCTTACCTTGTTCAGTTGTCTTGTTGAACAACCATAGAAATGTTAATAAAACAGTACAAATACATAGGGAGATTATAAATAGAACAGTGAGAAAAAGTTCATAATTGTTAAAAGGGATGTTTGTCTTCTTGAATCCCACTTTTTTATTCATTTTGATCTGGGAACTGAAATTGCTGCCAGTTTCCTGTAACTTTGAGAATAATAATTATAATTTGAGGATGGGTATATAATTAAGATGATTCTAGTTAATTATTTATTTTTATATACTGCTGGACTCAATGATTCCAGAGGTTTACATCATAAGACATGAAAAAACAAAAGGCTTTAATCATAATGCATTTAATAATTTCATTTCTAGGTTCTGTCATATAGTAGACTTTATACCCAAAGAAAAAGTACTAATGATAGTAATGTCCAGAAGGTAATATTTTTCAAGATAACATATGTACATATTCAAAAGCCAGGGCTGTAAATGTTAATCTTCAACTTTGCATTATTTTTTGATGTGCTACTAGCGAAATTGCAATGAAATTGCACATTGATACTTTCAGTTGTTTAGCTTATAGTTACTTCCAAGTGCTGGAAATTATGGATCAATTTACCTTTGTACCTGGCAAGAGATAAATCAAAATGTAAAGCAGTAATGGGAAATCTGCTGGACAAGAAATACACCTAAAATATTTTTGGAGCCTGTGAGATGCAAAGTGGCTAGAGGACCTTCACATATGAGGATGAGGAAATTTTAAGGAGAATTTATTATAAACTTGGATTTTTTTAGAAGCTTTCAGTTTTTACAAATTACGATTGAAGTTCTAATGTATGCAAAAGTAGAACTGAGGATCACCTGTTTCCATGGAGTGAAAAGTTGTTTTTTATGTAGCTGGAAAAAAGGCATTTAAACTTAAAAAATGTACATATAAGAGAGAACAGTGAAGATGAATATGCTATTCTAGTTCATTACCTTATTTTTTTTATAGTCCTACCAAATAGTACCTTAAGACAATTGGCTTAGCTGGCAAACTCTGGACGTTCATAGTGACTGACTGTTCCCTCTAAAGAGAGCTATAGTAGATACAGTATATGATATAACTTATTCTGATCACTAAAATCTCCTACTGGTTTCATTTCATAACAGAAATGGTATCTCAACAACAATATTAAAGACATATTTATAAGCCTCTTTCCATATGTAGCATGAGAAATTGATGCCGCATTCAAAAACATAATTGGGGAAACATCTCATTTTATTCCACAAGGTGTGGAATAAATAGTTTGCAACAGGGAGTCTTTTTACACTCCTATAGTTCCACATGTAGAGTCATCAGTTGACTGAAGAGATAAACCCAGAATGCCTCCTGCCTCACATATTTTTCCAACATTTTAGGGACAACAGCAGATATGGTGACAGAGGTTAGAACTAACACACCATTCCATTTTGAAAAAGCTATAATAATATTACCAGTAAACTACTCATCAATCCTAATAGGGCAGCATTATAACATATGAAATAAACTGAGTGTGCAGTTCTATAAAGTATAAATAAATCATGGGGAAGGTTGTTAGTATTTATCTTGCTTATATCAATCTATACGGGGACCAAAAATCCAAAGTTATCTTACTATATTAAATTGTTAATATTTTGCATTCTGTTTTCTGAAGATAGATATAGAAATACTTTGCTACCTACTTACAAATGTCATACTGCAGGGAACATTTGTATAATTCAAAATAATTCAGGGTAACATAATATTTAAAAATAAATTCAAATTGCTTTCAGAATTACTAAGTCAAATGTGTCAATCCTCTTTCATAAATGGAGAATGCTTCTTATGTTTTAAAATACAAGGTAGAACTGACAATTCCTATAATTGAGTGTATACCGTGATATATTGGGACTTAAGAACCATTTATTTATTCATTTTTATTTATTTATTTGATTTGTCAATCGCTTACAAGATAATAGGTATAAGTATATATATAGTTATGAATACATGAAATGGGTACATATAAGAAAAATAAAGAAACAATAGGACAGGGACGGCAGGCACGTTGGTGCGCTTATGCACGCCCCCTACAGACCTCTTAGGAAAGGGGTGAGGTCAATAGTAAACAGTCTAAGGTTAAAGTTTTTGGGGTTTGGGGAAGAAACCAAAGAGTCAGGTAGAGAATTCCAGACATTGACCACTCTGTTGCTGAAGTCATATTTCCTGCAATCAAGTTTGGTGTGGTTAACCTTGAGTTTGTATCTATTGTGTGCTTTTGTGTTGTTATGGTTGAAACTGAAGTATTCATTGACAGGTAAGTCATTGCAATGTATGATTTTATATACCATACTTAGGTCAGATTCAAGTAATTCAAGGTTTTCTAGGTCTAGAATTTCAAGTCTGATGGCATAAGGTATTCTACAATGAGTAGAGGAGTGGAGAACTCTTCTTGTGAAATATTTATCAACTGTGCTAATATCAGATACGTAATGTGGGTTCCAGACTGATGAGCTGTATTCGAGTATTGCTCTAGCAAATGTTTTGCATGCTGTAGTTAGTAGTGTGGTATTACCAGAGAAAAGCTACATAGGATTAAGTTAACAACTCTTAATGCTTTTTTAGCTATGTAGTTACAATGGGCTCTAGCACTTAGATCATTAGAGATGAGTATTCCAAGGTCCTTTACAGAGCTTGGATCATCAACAAGGTCTTGACTATTCAGCTTGTATTTTATTTTCTGATTTTTTTTGCCAGTATGTAAGACAGAGCATACAATAACTAACTAACTAACTAACTAACTAACTAACTAACTAACTAACTAA